GATCATACTGTACCTATCTGTATATGATTTGACTTTCGCTTTTCATATTATTTATTCTTAAGCATAATCGGCTATCGTTAGTGTCATTGACACAACTTACAGTACGTGTTGTCGTGGGTCTCAATCTCAAGCCTTTTAATAATGAAAGGTACATAACTAAATAACTTAGATGCAAATGATACGATAATCGCATTCTTTGTTGAAAACTAATTTTGTATAAAACCTTTGAGGCCTTGAGGGAATCATCTCATTATTAAGAGTCATTGGGGGACGGGAGAGGCAGAGACCTATACGTAGGGAAAAAATTGTGTCTAATTTGTCTGGATTTATTTGAAGTCTCCACAGGTTGAACAAGCTTAAGAGATCATTAAGGGGTGTTTGGAGTGTGTCAGAGGCTCTGGTTAGAGGTTATGGTAAACATTATTTTTTTTATTCTTGGAGAACTTTGGCCTCAAATAAATTATTTAACCTCTTAACGTTCTCAAAAATTTGGACTGATATATAAAATGAAAATATCGAACATGTATAGGCAGACAATATTTTTTTTAAATCGTTAAAAATTCAAATTTCTACAAAATTAATTAAAATCATGGAAATGTATATACAATTAATTTGCAATTGAAGATATGTATATATCAATTTTAATATTCATACTCATTCCTATAAGGTCTATAAATGTAAGATATGGTTCCACATGAGTTTTTATTCTTACAATAGTTATAGGTAATTACAGCGCAATTTTACAATTATTCTTATGATCACCTGAAGTTAAAATGTAGACCAAATTTGTCAAAATCATGAAAATGTCAAAATTCTATAGCATATTGTACCTTAGTAAAATTTGTTTACTGAAACCACAAAATCTAAAAAATATACAAATACAATTTTTTTTTTTATAATCATTATCTTAAATTCTAGTTTGGACAAAGTTCAATCTTTGTAAGAATTTTAGTTATTTTTAGTAACTAATTCAAAAATATTAATTGAGGGGCTTGAAACTTTTAGGTATACTATTATATATTATATAGGTACTCAATGATTAAATTTAAGCTATTGCCTAATTATACCACGAGGCACAAATCTAATAACACCATGTTAAAGTAAGTCTGTCTTGACTCAACAATTAATAACATAAATATATTATGCTATAAATATAAACTATTTTAATCAGCAATATAAATATATATTAAAATATTCTTAGGCTGACAGACAATCTTCGCTCAGAATCGTTATTTGTATGCATTGATTTATCATTGAACTCAATAAGTTCTGACACAATATATAGTACAGTGATTTATTGAATGACGAGGTATACTCAAGGCTCGACACATACTATACAACAGAGTGGTTACCTACTTCCATCCTTTTTATCTTTTATTATTCTCTCACTGTGTCCTGGTGCACCATAAGAGTGTAACAATTGAAAAAAATAGTTTTCCACAACAGTACATATTGTCACTAAATAAAAATTATTGTAACTATTAACTTTCTTTCTGAAAGTGGGACATTTTAGTTTCCCAAAGATAACCCTAGGATAATGGGTCAAAGAATTAATAAATATAGTCACCTTAAGTAAAATATACAGTTATACAAACTATGTATTTCACAATATAAGACATATAATGAGTACATAATGACAATATAATATATTATAGGTATAGTATAATTTATTGTATAAACATGTAAATTTTGAATGGATATATTTTAAGTTTTTTTTACTACAGTAATTCACAAAATTTAATGAGTGTTCAAGGAAAATTTAAAACAAATAGAAACATACATTTAACTCACAAAATTGTTGCTTTGATCGATTCTAAATGGTATTAAGTTAGATACCTATTGCATCAAGCGCATAAGAAAACAACAATAATGTATTCACATAATTATATTTATTACTGATTAGCGTTGACTATTTCAACAAATTCTGGTTTTAAGGATGCACCTCCAACCAAAAACCCATCAATGTCGCATTCTTTAGCTAATTCTCGGCAATTAGATGATGTCACAGATCCACCATAAATGATACGTGTAGTTTTGGCAACAGTTTCATTTACTTCATCAGCTAGCCATTTTCTCAAAATTTTATGGACATCTTGAGCCTGAAGAAAACAAACATAAATAAGTACACAATAAAATCATTATAGAAATGTTTAACAACTTACTTGTTGAGGGCTAGCAGTCTTACCAGTACCAATGGCCCAGACTGGTTCGTAAGCAATAACTACGTTTTGCCAATTGCATATTTTCTCTTTAATGGCTTTAATTTGCTTAGCTACAACAGCTTCAGTTTGTCCAGCTTCACGTTCTTCAAGAGTTTCACCAATGCATGCGACAACAGACAATCCAGATTCAAGAGCATGATTTACTTTTTCAGCAATGAGCTGTTAACATTTAAAAAAATCTAGTATTAACACCAATGTCTTTATCCGAGGGAAAAAACCCCTAATACATAAGTAATTTTTAAAATTATACATATTATTTTTTTTTTAAATTGAATTTAGTATAATAATTTAAGCGTTAAAGAAAATTATTATTATTATTCCAAAAATAGATTCTTACCACGGGTAAGCAAAAAAAAAAAATACAATTAATATTAGCAACAAAGTATTCAGTTAATTTGTTTATTATAATATGTATAGTATACGCTTGTTTTTAAACTAACTAGTTTATTAAGTTTGTCTTTAGTGCCTTGATTTATTTAAAATGTGTAAACAATAGAAAACTTAATAACAAATTTCTTCTAAAGGCATAAGAATATTATAATTTATTTTTAAACCTAATAGACCAAACTCCATTCATGTGTAAAACTCAACTGGTGAAAATCCAACATGGCTTGCAAAGATTTTTGGAAATACATAAAACTTTTGTTGAGACTGAATGAATTAGTTTTTTTAAAGATATTAAAACATTGTTTAAATATTACAACTTTACTCTATGAGTTCATAACAATAAGTTAATTTATTATACCTATAATACTTTTTTTCATTCAAAGACATGTAATTAGTAAAGTAAGATACATGTGAATAAATATTGAAACTTAAGAGAAATATTTAACAACCAAAATAGTTATAACCTATGCCCCACTGTCAAAATTAATCAAAAAGTAGATTTTTTAACTACACAATTGTAAATTTTGATTTTATTTGATAAATAAAAATAAATAATAAACATTATTTTTGTATCTATAAATTACAAAGAATGATTTAAAGTTTCAATGCTTGAGCCTGTTTTCAAAAAATAAAAATTGATATTCCTAAAGAATATTTTTTTCATTCTTTTTTATGATGATTTTATTAGTAATCTAACAGCAAGATTTTTTAAAAAATATAAAACATTTTTTTTATCTCCATTGTGACATTGTGTTTATTATTACCACAAATGTGTGCCAAGTCTATAATATTGTAAGTCACACCAACTACTAAATAATTATTTCTTACAATAAAACATTTTTAAGAAACACTTCGGATCAAGAAAGATTACTGATGTAACTATGAACTATAAAAAAAATATTTCAAGTGATCCTGGAGAAAGTTTAATTATTATTATCTTATACAGCAATTATTATTTTATTTTTAAATTGTTTGACATGTTTTTAGTGTTGATTATTATTTATTAGACTATGGTCTAAAGCTTTATTGTTTTATTTAGTAATGAATATTACCCAAATACATTATGTTATATCTGTACTAAAACAAGATTGTTTATTATGATTTAATAATCATAAGTAAATAAAACCAACATTAGAGAGTTTAAAGTTTTAGACTATAATCTATTAATCACATGAAAAACTAGTAAATGTGCCTAAACATGTATAAAACATTAATTCTTGGTATTGTATCTGTATTTGAATATTAAACGATAATTCTGTAAATTTCTAATATTTTAATACTTTTAATGGTAAAGAAACTTTCAACCATACATTTTGTCTAAATATAACATGGACAGTCCTAACTCATAAATCTGTTAAAATGGGAAGAAGGATCCTTATACCACCAAGAAAGGTTGAACCAATCACCGTGACTGTTTTTATCAAACTTTCTTTAATAATGGTTTACACAAATTAAAAACCATACTGTTACAAAATTGGTGTAGATAAAATCACATCTTAAAAAATAAAGTTTTGAAATTCGTGAGGGGTGTGGTAAAGTGTGAATAAACCGAAGAAAACTACTTATTTAAGATCAGTTTTAACTTTCCAGTTTAATTCAATAGGTACTTACAGTATCAGATTCTTGGAATATCTGCCGGCGCTCAGAGTGACCTAAAATCACCCAATCGATACCAATATCTTTTAACATACTAGGGCTTATTTCTCCAGTGAATGCACCTTTTTCAGTTTTATAACAATTCTGTGCTGCAACATATATGCTACATGGTGCTTTTTCTTTAACAAAATCCAAGTATATGGCTGGTACCCCAATCAAAACCTCTGTAAAAAAAATGTGTAACTAACTATGTGCACATCTCGATCTATTAGGTATTGCCATTAACTTACCAACATTAGGGTCCAAAGGTCCCTTTACTAAATTGCTGAGTAGTTCATCAGCGACTTTCTTCGAACCGTTCATCTTCCAGTTGCCTCCAACAAAGAATTTTCGTGACATGTTGGCCGTTGAGAAAAAAGATCTAGAGGAAAATAGATTAAGGAATGGAAAGTGAAAATTGAGAAAAATATAGAGAATGAATGTCAATAAGCAATGGACTCAGCTACGCCCTGCGCGTTAAAAGGAGATGAACTGATAAACTGACGAACGCCGAATGCCGACCGTCAAAACTGTTTTGTGGTCAAATGGAAATGGAAGTTTCGAATTGATGTAGATGAAGGATGATAGCGGACCTAAGACCTAAGTGTTGACACAGACCGTGATAAAAGCGTAGGACATACTTATGACCTCTAGGCTCCATTAAGTGTGCAACCAAGTTATACTAAGGTCGTAAAAACAAACAAACATTTTGATATTTCGATGAGTCAAGTTGATAAGTATAATGATAAGTTATCAATATTTCATATTTGTATCAATGTGTCTCGTCCTGCTCAAATTGCTGTTTAAACTAAAATTTCAAAGTTGCTCTGCGTTTGTTAATTCATATTTTTGACTAATCATATTTAATAATTACTATACTTAAATAAATAATCGATACTAGTACCTTAATGGTATATTGGTATCAAATACAACCTTTTTTAATATAAGTCCTAGTATTTTGTACTATTAATTATTTTTGTGTAAGTAATAACTAATAAGTATGTAATATGTATAACCGTATACTAAAAGCCTGGGTTTAGACATTTTATGCCTCAGGGCAATAATTGCACCTCCCTGCTATTTTCCGCCATATTACCCTATAATTTGATGTTTCAACCATTATCTATAGGTAACTCATATCTAAATTTTCTTACACAGTATTATGTGTCATTAGAATAATAACTAAATAGCAAAATAATATGTATTACTAATAGACTAAATGCTAATAAACTAATGTACAATACGCAATATTAAATCTTGCCTCCCTTTAATCCAGCCCTGCATATAATAGGTACAATAAGTAATTTCTTAAGTCCATAACGGGATAAAGTGTACACACTAATTATCTGGCCATCTGGTGCTGATTTTAGAAGTTAAGTCCTTAGGGTTCCTTATCATCAAATGAAGGACTACTAGAGAGTTAAAAAAGAAAACTTTGCCACTCACTAGACTAAGTCATAAACTCCATAACACTTGAATCTTATAACAATCAATGAGATATAATAATAATAATAATAGGTACAACTAAAATTATAAAACAGAATAAAAAAAAAATGATGTTTCTATTTGAGTAATAATTTATATACTTGAATTTATTAACTTGAAAATGATATTATGTGTATATTTTATTCATAAAAATGTAATTTTTTAATTAGGTTCAATTCATGAAAAAAATGTTTTCAAAATAATGTGTCGTTATGAATTTAAATTTATATAAAATCATTCTGTACTTAAATACTATCAACTATTTTCAATAAAAAACTAAAACAATTAGTTATTAGTTATAAATTATTTTTTATTGAGATTCTTCTTTATTCTGTCTGATATTATTTATTCATGTATTTATTTATTTATTAAATACAGTTTTTTAAAAGTTTAAAACACCTATGAGGTCATATACTCATGTCAATACTTTAAAATTAAAACACAAAATCTTTGTCTTGAAAATTCAAGTTCTATGACTACATTATTAAAAATGTATGGTTTAAAATAAAAGTAAATAATATACAAAAACATTATGTTATAAAAGACTTACCTTTTAAAACAATTTAGTAGGTGTACTGACATTTTGTTGTTGAAAAATTAGTAATATTGCTGATCTCATTTGTACAGTACTGTGGCCAATTAGTAGTAGAAAAAAACCAGGGATAATGCATAAACATGGAAAAATGTATTAAAATAACATGTACAAATAACAGTAAAAATTAACAGGGGAGTGAAAGAGCCAATTATACTCATAAACCATTTTAAAGGAATTAATTATGTGTGCAGCAATAATAAGACTTTTGTCACCCACATAAAATGGTAGACGGGATCACAGTATACTGTGACAGTAGTATATTGACACATAATATTATTTTAAGAGACAAATCAAACACATCCCCTTTTTTTATTAATTTCAGTTATAATTACACAGTTCAATGTTTTGATCTTCAAATAACTCATGGCAAATAATTCTGTAGACGAATTATCTCAAAGGGAAGAAAAAAAGTATGTGTTCAAAGACCCAACTTTTGACGTAAGTAATTTGATTAAAAACTCTAAATAATCATTGTGTTTAATTTAAATTAATTTTATTCAAAAAACAAAAGCTATTATTTTTCTAATTGTATCTAGATTCAAAGTAAATCTATGAATTATGTATAATAATGTTATATGTAATCTGTATAAGTTCTTAAATCTTGTATGAACATTCAGACCTATGTTACTCTAAAGTATATTGAAATAAAAACAAATATAAATATTTTTTAAACCTAAGAATTTTATAGTTTTAATTTGGTACAACAATAAATACTAATCAGTACATCAAACTATCAATATAAATTACTCAACTGGATATTTTATGATATACATCTATATAGAACTTGTTTTGACTATTCATTTGTTAAAGACCACAGTAAAAATAAACTTGCCAGGGACATTATTATGGCCCTGGCAATAATACTCAATAATACTCAATTTACAAAAAGATGTTTTTAATAGTATCAACCCTACCAACAATATACAGTTTTTCACTTAAACCTGTACACATGTAAGAATATTTAATTACTATTTCTGTTTAATAAGCTTTGTGACCAGGACCCATTTTCTTCAATAGAACTACTTTAAATATATTTTTTTAAAGTATTTATTTAGCATAACCATCATATTCTAGTATCTATATTATATCTTATACAAAATATGCTATAATTAGTATTTATTGTCATTATTTTGGGCCATAAATTATTTTATAGAAGTCCTGGGCACTTTGTCCGATACCTCTTAGATCTAAAACTGTTTTGATAACTCGTTCTTCTTGTGTCCCTCAATACCTTTTTGCCATTCCTAGATCCGCCTTTGAAAGCAGCTCATGATTTTGAAATGACGAATACCCAGTGTACTATACTGCAATTAATTTCAAATTATTGATGAAATTAGATTTTAAGCTATTTATGAGTATTTAATAACTTATGTTATAGAGTACCAAAACTATCAATGGAAAAAAAAAATTATGGCGTTCATTAAAGCAAATAACAGCTCAAGAAAGAAATTTACCATGGCCTGATAACTCAATTAATTGTAAATAAACCTTATTGGGTACTATTTTATACCTCATATCTTATTTCTATGATTTCTGTTCACAGATAGCTGTATTTCTGCTCCCCCATCATTCAAACCAGCTAAAAAATATTCAGATATTAGTGGATTAATTGTAATATTAAAATGTTTAGGTATAAATACTCAATTAACTATTTTTTTTTTTTTTTTAAAGGCCAAATATAAAGATCCTCAAACATCTTTATACTATGCCGGACATGAAGAATTTAGTACTGTAAGAAATCTGCCTAGTGATATTATTACTGGATATCTGACTTTACGAGGATCGTACAATCCTATTGGATAATACTATTACAGTTGAAATTATACTTTAATTTGAAATAAGACTTAAAAATAAAATGAACAAATATATCTGTAACTGTAAAATGTATACTATTATATTGAATTATTAAACAATAATGAATTTTATAAATCAATTTTTATTAATGACTTTATCATCTCTTAATCCTATTCTTGCATAATTACATCACTACTTATACATATTAATATAAAAACACAAAATGTATTATCTTCAAACTTGTGGATCGACTTTGGGTTCATCAAATTTAATTGTTGGGAATTTGGTAGGATCTTCATTTGGGCCAATGTTGTATTGTCTGCCAATCTTTTCTAAATCGTTCTTGTAACCTTTATCAATTGCAGGGTCAAACGTCTTAGAATCAAATTTTCCTCTGTACTCGCGGATTTTATCCAAGAACAGTTTTTGGATGGGATCTGTAACTTTGCTTTCATTCATCATCAACACCGATGTAGCCGATATATTACGACGAACAAATCGACCAGCCGATCCATTGGCATTCAATTTTTGTAATAAATTAAATGACAACATGTTTAATCTGAAATATTGGTTATACAAAAATAAAAAACATTAATTATCTTATACATATAGAAAAAAATCACAAAATACTTACCCTGTGTGTTTTTAACTCGTGGAGCAAGTATAGAAATTATCTGATAAATGTTCTAACTCCCAAAATTTATGAAAATTGGTTGAAAAACTAAACCTCAAATCATATGTCCTAATGTCCTATCTCCGAGATGAATGTCAATTTTTTCTTTTTATGATTAAAGACAGTGTATCCAAAATAAATTTCTTCGTAATAATTATTTGTATTATATATTAATATGCACTTTTCATTCGGACACGAATAAAAGTTTGAAACAGGCAAGATTTTTTCAATATTATGTATATTTTATTTTAACTATTGTACATTTTAAAAAATATTTTACATTTTTCTAATTGGAAAATTGTTATTTTACAACTACTACGTTGCAGTAAATTCATGTTTTCTGATAAGGTTGTGGCCATGACAACAATAACAAAGAATGACTGGGTGGTTTTCTTTATTTAAATAGTTGGAGCTACGAATATAAATACTAGATAATACTGAACACTAAGTCACTAAACACTAAACGCTAAATAATTTTATGTTAGGTAATTTACGTGTTTATAAAATAAAATTGTAGAATTTAACATAATGAAGATTACTGTCACAACACACGACGACCACTTGATTGTACTTGATGTAAGCGAGGATTTAGAACTAATCAATTTCAAGGCACTATGTGAAGTAGAAACAGGAATTCCATCACAGGAAACTGGGCTAACACACAATGGTCAGCTTTTGGTTGACGATTTTAGTACAATGAAAAACTTAGGCGTTCGTGATGGAGATGTTATCATAATTCAAAGAGTTGCAAGCAGCGCTACTGCAATGGATCACTCATTTAGTAATCCAAGCAATAGTATGCATGTACAGAATAAATGCTGTCAGACTGTATCTATAATTCTTTTTGTTTTTTAGATGTGTTACCACAATTTGACTTTAGCCGTATTCAAGTGCCTGGTTCATCTAATAGCAACCCAGGCACTAACAGACAACACCAAATGCAGGATGCAGAATATGTTAGGAACTTATTTCTCTCCAGTCCAGAACAACTAGCTCTTCTTAAACAAAATAACCCCAGACTTGCAGATACCTTGACCTCAAACAAAATTGGTCAGTAGTTAGTCACGCTTATTTAATTATAAATATTAAGTCTTAATTATTCATTATGAGAATAGATTATAAAATACCTTAATAGATGATGGGATTTAGTGATTATAACTTGACAACACATGGGATCAAAATGAATAAATATTTCAATACAAACCTTAATATAATGTTCAGTATGATGTATGATGTACCTGTAAATTAAATTAACCTAATCTACCCTACATGCTCTACCCTACGTGCTCTAAACTACGAGTTAGAATATATTTGATATTATTACATAGTGTTATTAGATTATAATCTATGGACTTCAATAAGTTAAGTAAGAACCATTAAGTTATTATACATTTCTTTCAGTAGAGGTATTGTTAGAAACTAAAAGTACAGGTCCGTCATTGTCTTTAAATAAATGACATTTCACAATGTTTAATAGGATTTAACTACTAGCTAGTTTCTAAATTCATACACCTAACTTTTTAAAAATAAATCGGATGATTTTCTAATGTATGAATTCATAAATGAAAATATTAATAGTATGGAAAATTAATTTTTAATTTGTACTGCAGAGGAATTTGCAAATGTCATGGCTGAGCAAATGGAAGAACGAAAAAAGCGTGAGGACCAAAGAATCAGAATGATGAAAGCTCATCCATTTGATGCTGAAGCACAAAAATTAATAGCAGACGAAATACGTCAAAAAAACATTGAAGCGAACATGGAAGCTGCTATGGAATATAATCCAGAAATGTTTGGAACGGTTGTCATGCTTTATATCAATTGCAAAGTAGATGGATATCCTGTGAAAGCTTTTATTGATTCTGGAGCTCAAACTACTATAATGTCATCTGCTTGTGCTGAACGGTGCAATATCATGCGTTTGGTTGATAGTAGATGGGCTGGGTTAGCTAAAGGTGTTGGTGTACAAAAAATTATTGGCAGGATACATATGGTTCAAGTTGCAATTGAAAATGATTTTTTAACAACCAGTTTTTCTGTTCTTGAAGATCAGCCAATGGATATGCTTCTTGGATTAGACATGTTAAAAAGACATCAAGTAATTATTTATATACTTAATAGAAATTTCATCTTATGAACATTTTTGCTACTTCCTATTCTCTTTTTTTATTATCTAACATCCATTCTTCGCTTTAGTTTCTTATTTTATTAACATACACATTCAAGAGAATACATTTTGTGTTGTAAGCTTTCTATTAGTGTGTATTTACCTGTTATCAAAGTTGAAAGTTATGTTATAAATAGTATTTTATGGGTTTTTATTCATATTTTTATTTAAAAGTAAGTTTTAGCTGTAAAATATTACAATTTTAAAAGTGAAATATTAATTAAAGCTTAGAAGATGCCCTAGGTAGTAGGTAATATTATCTTTAAATTAATTAAATTAACTATAATATTATAGTTAACAACACAAAAATGGTTCTTTTGAACACAAATTTTTTTTATTGTGCATTTGTAAGACAAAACAACACGTTTAGGGATTTACAGGATTTACAGTTTGGAATTCTGTATACCAAATATATCCATTTATTTGTTCTTTTTTCTATACTCCTATAATTGTTATATGGTAAAATATTGTTATCAACAAGTATTTTAAATGGCTAAAGAATTCTGATATATTTATTTATATTATTAGTGTTGCATAGACCTGGAACACAATGTCTTGAAGATTGGAACAACAGGGACTGAAACTCCATTTTTGCCTGAAAGCGAATTGCCAGATTGTGGTCGTCTAACTACATCTAGTGATCATGATGGATCTAAAAGTGAAGACAAGGAACTAAAGAAAGCTTTAGATGAAAGCAGAAAAATGAATCAAAGTAGTGGTAAGTATTAAATTTTCATTAGGTAATTTTATAATGAATGTAACTTTTTTTGAAATCAAGTATATAAATATTATAGCTTTGTTATAATTAATTAGACAAGCGGAGAAGAGATGCATACTTTGTCCAAATTACAAATTTCCTTTTATTTCCAGGTACCTTTTCTTTCCTATTTGTATCTGTTAGTACTACGTTATTTTAATAGTTATTCATTGTATATATTATTGTATTAAATATTTAATTTTCTTATCCTGGAAAGCTATTCCATCCAATTAAATTTTAAGCTTATCTTTTTTTTGTAATTTTTAGGTAGTAGCAGTAAATCTAGTCAATCATTTAAAGAAACTGATATTACAGAACTGATCAACTTAGGATTTTCTAGAGAGCAGGTAAATATAAATTATAATTAAATATGGATTCAAATATAAAATATTCGCTTTGTCTCAAGAGCTTGACCATGGTCGGTAAGGGGATCCTGTATTATATTTTTGCAAAGAAAATAGTAAAACCATTATTATCAAACTTCATTTCGTATAAAAATAATAATATTTTGGGGGATGAAGTGGCTGAGTGGATAACGCGTCAGTTGCAATACGCACCGTCACCAGTTCAAACCTCGGTCACGGGCGGCACTTCTCTCCGGGCAGTCACGGTGTCTGGAGAGAGTGGCCGCCATCCCCCACCCGGGCATGGCAGAAACCACAGGTGCCCACTAGAAATTCTGCCAAAACAAAACACACATGTTAAAAACCTTCCATACCAAACCCTATTATTAACAACCTTACCCCTACCACAGTTCATAACCACTACAACAGCTAAAGGCCTTAGTTGCCGGGCTTAAGTTCTATAAAAAAAAAAAAATAATAATAATATTTAATTAACAGCAAAATATACTAAGCTTCTACTCTTTTCACTCACATGATAATAACAGAAATCAATTAAGAAAAATGGTTACCTGTTTTCAGTGACTCAGTTGGAACAAACATTTTATTTGGGAGGGGGGTGGACTAAACTAAATCTCCTCCATATATTTTCCTAAAATTTGCACGGTTACCGGCAAATTATAATATTATAAAATACAGGAACATAATAGTACGACAGAAGCAATCAAAATTGATCTCGGTCATAAGCTTAAAATGTAAAACCAGGCTATCCCCTATGTGTGAATAGTTTGTTTTTCATTTAAAATTTTGTAAATAATTATTTTTTTACAAGTTGATATCAAAAAAAAAAGTATTTAATATACCTTGTACTAAAATAACTTATAATTGTGTTCTGTTAATTTGTGTATGTAAGTTATTGACATTGGTCAGCCATCCTATATCTTACAGACCATGGGAGTCTAAACACAACATAATTATATATTTATTACGATCAAATAATTCATGATTTGCACTTATTTAATTGTTGTACATAAATAATATAACAATATTTGGAATAATGTATATAACTAAGTACTATTCTAGTCGCAAGAGTGATCAAGGCCCAGGAGCCACTTTTTGTTTCCAACTATTTTAGTGATCAATTAAACTGAGTATTTTAACTAGTATTCTGAAGAAAATATATCCTCCAGGGCTTAAAGATATATATATGATCTAATACATTTAAACATATGTTAAACTTGTAATAAAGTAAATAATAGATGTCACACTGTCACAGATTAAAATAAACTCATAATAAAGGGTACATTTGTTTGAATTAAATTTCTTAAATATGTTAAAAAATATTAAAAAAGACATTTTTGGTTTATATTTTAAAACTTTTGAAAATATTATAAATTTTAATATTTGCCAAGTTGAATTGACTTCTAGGTATCCCAACTTCATATACACTTACATGCCTATAACCTATTATTGTGCTTTTCAAAGAACAAAAGACTTATTCTCAGACTAATTTTTCCACACTGTCAAACAATATACTTCCAGTTCCAGATTTTTAATTTGGTTTTAGAGCCAAGCAAAGCACGGTCTATCAAGTTCAGCATCAAGGTCTCCTTTTTATGCTCTGAACATTTTGTCCCCCCTCAGTATTCCTAAATTAAATCATATTTTACAGACACGGTACATATTTATTAATAACCTAACTGAAAAACCACTTACTTGATTGTATTAAAAACTGTATTGTTTACATTTATTCTTCATTTTTTTGGGCGGGGTAAAACTTGATCAATTTGAAATTATTGTACTAAATAGGTACACTAAATGGCAAGTGCTATATCCAAATCTACCAGCATGGTAAAAGTTGTTAACCGTTATAAACTTGCCTGTTTACTAATGGTATGGTTTCCAAGGTGTGACTTGTCGTTGTGGCAGGCTGCAACGACTGCTCTGGTATGGAACAGCATGATAGTCGTTGCGGCCGACAACTGTCCTAGTCTGCAAGGAGTATATGTTGCGGCTGGTCACTGCTATTGGCCATTAAGCCTAGCCACATCTTGGAAACCGTATCTTAAGGCCCAATGTACACTCAAATAAAAATATACCAAGTACAGTTTTTTCCCATACTTAGTTGGGTAATACAGCTAAATATATAATATGTACAAGTGGAATATAAATTAGTGCAGTAAATATTATTGCTGTGTCAAAATAACACCATGTCAAATGCCAACAAATGACAACTACCCATAAAGATTATGCTTGTAATAATAAATTATAATGGTCCAATATTATACTTTTTATTTTATTTATCAGTCTTTAGTAAGTAACTAGCTAATTATATTGTACTTTATGCTTATTTATAAACAATATTGAAATATATAAATAATATTATGAAATATGCATAGGTATTAGGTTGTGTACCAAAATTATTTCAAATACAATAAAATTACATATATTTTTTTTTTAGGTTATTCAAGAATTAAAAAGATTCAATGGTAATAAGAATGAAGCAATGGCCTCCTTATTTGCAAAAATATTAAAATTTTGACAGTTGTCAGAAGTTTTTAACAAAATTAATATAAAATATTCTTCCTCTTCGAGACTGTTTTTATTTTCAGTCAATTTTAGTTTTAATTTTTAAAACTTATTTCATTATTTTTATATTTTTTTGGCTGAATGTATAAATCTATTATTTTTAAAAAATTAATTTAATAATAAATTTTTAAATGAAACTTATAAATACCCTGAGAAAAATGATAAAACAAAAAGTTATAATATTTTTGATCACATTAAGTGTCTGATTTGTATAAAGTGATGTTAACCATTTAAAATATTAATGAAATAATTTAAATAAAAGGTATTTATGAGTTTCTAATAAAATCCCTTTCAAGTAATTTTTCTCCTTGGTTAAATGTTAACTTCTTTGTATTTAGAGACTGTATTTACGATATAAAGACCTATTGTCATTATTTACACAATTACATAAATTCATTTAAGGTGTTAAGTTTTCGTTCGGTTTATGTAGACTTATATTTAAATTAAATAATAACAAATAAATAAGGTTTGGGATTATTAACCACATGAATGCTTAAATATTAAATGTAGTTTTTGCATTAAGTACCTAAAATATTGTGTTCAAAACAAATGCATGATTGTATAAAATTAAAATAATAATTTAAAAAATCATTCTGTGTTATAATTAATTTGCAATGCCACTTTGTTACTCCTTATTTCTTAATCCTTTTATCATAGAAGTTATGATTAACAATTCAATATTCAAATGATTTTAATATCATAACTTAAAATTATTTTTCATAAGAAAATTGATTGATCTTTAATGTTAAATTGTATTTTAAAAATATGAAACAGATTATAATACTATAGAGCTCAAATTAATAATGTAATCTATACCATAAATATCATGAAATTTCAGTATATAATATAGCTTATAAATGTATATTACTCGCGTGGTCTCTATACATATAAATTACCCTTGAATGTGTCTCTCTCTAATAAGTTCAAGTAGTTCAACATACAGCCGGACAAATTAACTAATTTTTGTACATAGTTTAAGCCTTCAATCTGTTATCCAATGCAATTTATCGCGTCTATGGGTCGTTGACCGTTGTTTGTCGAATTGACGGAAGAACAACAGGCTGATAGCGGAAAACGACGACGGTTGACGAGTGACAACGTACACAACATTTATAGGTATTTAGTACTGGGAGGCCTCTGAAATCTGTTTAGTCTGCCTTTTTATTTTTATTAATTTTGGCTTATTCTATAACATCACTTATTCTTGTTGTTCCCTTTGAAACAGATTGAATAAAACGTATGAGCCAAAAAAATATATATATATCTATGTAGGTATACACAAAACTTAAAAACGTTGGCACTTATAGATTGTAATACTTACTGTAAAATTAATTTAGGAAGGGGCCCAAAAAAAATATCGCACCCGGACCCCATATTATGAAGTTGCGGCACTGAGAATATTGTACAATTATTGTTATAATACAGTTATTTATAATATAACAAACAAATACTTTTGTGGATATGTATTGCGAAATTAACATAATATGTAGGACGTAGGTATACCTAGCTTATTAGTTATTAGATATGTACTTATGCATTATGCACTATGCAGGTATGCTACAGGTATGTACATTGTACAATGTACGTTATTATTTCGTTTGCAACCATAGGCAGTACGTAAGTAATCGAGGGATTTGTTTACCCCAAAATAATTATTTGTTAGTTATTTATAATTTTTACGGGGTTCGGACTTTCCACGTTTCGACCTAACACAATTTAATTTATTTTAAGTACCTACCAACATATCTGCCAGCATTTAGAATTTCGGCTTACGAATGACTGGATGAGACTCTAGAAAGTAGAAGTTTAGAACTACACTACCACAGACTATAATTATTGTCTATAATTTATATGTAATAAGTAATAACTTATAAATTATAATAATGTTATGTAATACAAATTGTGATTGTCCGATCGTCGTTGCCGACGACACGAATTTAAATAGTAGGTAAATATTACCAGGAACATAAATATAATAGGTAATACTAAAAATAATTTCTATAACATAAAAAAATATATCTATAGATAATATAATGTACAGTAAATGACTGGAGTTTTCGTAGATAATATTTATATATTTGTTTATTTATAGATAAATAGATAACATTTAGATTTTTATCTAGTTAAGATAATAGATAATTAACATATTCATCTAGACAAGTCTCAACACTGCTTGGTAGTTAGTAGTTACATATTATCCAGAAGTGCTGGTGTTTTTTAATCACCATAAAACGACATAATTAACAAATCAGTCCCATAGTTTCACAAAATGTTGGCCAGTTTGACCAAGCACCAACGTAGCTATTATAATTGTAACTCAAGACTTCAAGAGTCATGATATCGGCGTTTATGATACTACTAAGTACTTACTACTTAGTCAACTCTCTTTGATATTAAATTAATAACACATTGGCAATAATTGTATTGGCTATACGACAGTTAACTGAATAATTGTACCAACTAACAACGAAAGTATTGAAAATTAAATAACAATATTATTATCCATGGTTAAAAACTAATAGGCGGGTTTCAGACCTGTTTCTGATAAACGCCACGTCGGAAATCGAAATCAATATTTATAGAAAGAAAAAACCAAAAAAAGTATCAAATGTCTATAAATAGCCCAAAAAGAGTCATAATATTTTCAGAAAGAATGTTATCATGCATAATTATAGAAAATGATAAAACATTTTCGATGAAAATTTCAATTATCTATTTTGAATTACAGCAAAATAACAAACATCAATTGAAGAGAAGTAGTTAATTTACTGTTGAAGATCTAATGTTATAAGCAATTATTGACCTTCCGTTTTCCGGTAGCCTTGTAGGTAGAAAAACTTATACGGAATCTATAATATTTATTATCTATAGTATTCAATTTTCAAATCTTAGATATAAAGTTTAGTTGATGATCAATTTCCACCACAACCCTTTTTATTCTTAGGGCACCCTTGTCCTTGTGACGTGAATAAACGAGACAAGTCTAAAATATGTCCATATTTTGCTCCTGAAATGACAATAATCCTATAGTAAAATATTATTTTATTGATCAGTCATTGACATTTAAAAATGGTTCCCGCCACAACATTATCACTAGTCACCGCGGTATAACCTACAATAAAACTCTCATGTCGGCGGTTTGATAATAGAAAAACAAAGATTATAAATGATTTATTTTAATATATTGTTCCTTAATCCTTGTCGTTGGAAGATTTTCATACTATTCAGACACATTTCACATTAAATTTAGTGCATTATTATTTACTTACGTCTATTATAGTAATACATCCGATACTTTATAATATTCTACATTCGGTAATCGTTGCAAGGAATATCACTGTAATCGAAATTCCAAATCTCTTTCTAGTTTTGAACCGGTACGCAACCAGTAAGTAGCTGTAAGTCTGAAGTCATGAGCGCTACGTTATAATTCACAATCATTCCGTTTGCGTAATCGAAGTTTCCTATCCTCACAGATACTCGTCCTAGGTTTACCATTATTATTTTTTAGTAATTTTAGTCATGGAATCAATCTCCAAAAGCGTAAGTACTGACTTTAATTTTAATTTTTCTGAAGTGATATATCATTTGGATTATGTAAATCTTCTATACCTTATTTTATAATAAATTAATGTTCCAACACAGTTTTCTAATACACACTTGAATAACAAAAACTCAAATGAGCCAACTGCAGACACTCAAAGCAACACTTCTAGTGAAGAAGACAAAGAATTGCCAGCGTCTGAAAAATCATTATTGCAGAAAATTGTGCGTACGGGTCTCATAACATCCAAACATGACATTGAGGTGCAAAGACGGGACCCAAAATCACCATTATATTCAATCAAATCATTAGAGTTACTTAAACTGTAAGGTTTTCAAAATTTAACTATTATTTTATAAATAATGATTAGGTACATTAGAAATATTAACTATGTGCCATTGTTGACTTGTATTGTTTTCATTATTTTTAGTCATCCAAACTTGCTTAAAGGAGTTTATGAAATGGGTTATAATGCACCTTCAAAGATACAAGAAACAGCACTACCTTTACTCTTAGCGAATCCGTGAGTTTATATCTTATCAATATTGTACACAACCCTAACTATAAAACTCAAATAATCAAATCATTGTGAAACTACTAAATTGTTTTTGTTTGTATCAATATTTTAAATTATATATAAATGTAACAAATATGGCATGGTTAACTTTATTTTGAAGAAAAGAGTCACCCATCGATTGCACAATTACTTAATTATTGTAATTTTTATACTATACTCCAGCTGCCAAGAGTATGCTACTCCTTCGCTCATCCAAATGAATGAGCTCCGCAGTTTAGTACTCAAATTTCTCCCACTCTATAACCTACTCACCAAGGTAAATTCTCCCACTCATGGCTTCGATGGTGGTGGCCAGCGTTTTGGAAGGTTTAATGGAAAAAATGATTAAAAATGGACGTGTTCTGGTCATCAGCCATTAGCATTCTCTCGGCGGCTGGAGTATATTATTTAGTATTTTTAACTATTAACTGATAAAAAATTTTAGTTTTTGTTATGAACAGTGATTAAACTACTTAATTTATTTCACATTATAGTCCTCAAAATTTGATTGCTCAGTCACAGTCAGGTACCGGAAAAACAGCAGCATTTGTTTTGGCTATGTTAAGTAGAGTTAATCCGGAATTTCAGTATCCACAGGTAATAAGATTAAAATATCCTACAAATAGTGTATTTAGTTATTTAATTATTTCTAAATTGCTGTGTAGGTAGTTTGTTTGTCCCCCACGTATGAATTAGCCATTCAAACAGGGGAAGTTGCTGCAAAAATGTCTACCTACTGTCCAAACATTAGGCTAAGGTATGCTGTTCGTGGTGAAGATGGTTTGTATTTTTGAATATAATTTCTTAATTGTTAAGACAGTACTACATATATTATTAATTTTTAGTTGAAAGAGGTTCCAAAATAGAGGAACAAGTTATTGTGGGCACACCTGGAAAAGTTTTGGATTGGGCAACTAAGTACAAATTTTTTGACCCAAAACATATTAAAGTATTTGTGTTAGACGAAGCTGATATTATGGTTGATACCCAAGGTCATCAAGATCAAAGTTTCCGCATTAGAAAGTAAAATTTCTTCTAACCAACATTTTTATTTAAATTTAAAAATTTTAATTTCATATAAAGGTTACTACCAGAAACATGTCAAATGATGTTTTTTTCGGCCACATATACAGAAGATGTTATGCGATTTGCCAATGCTATTGCACCTATGTCTGTCATCATACGATTAAAACGTGAAGAAGAAACATTAGATAATATCAGACAATACTATGTTAACTGCAACAACAAAGAAGATAAATACAATGCATTAGTTAATATTTATGGAGGAGTGACTATTGGACAAGCTATGATCTTTTGTCAGGTAATTAAAACAAAGTATTAATATAAGATGATAACCAGTGGTATACCCAGGGCTAACCGGCTGAAGTCCACCAGCTCCCATGCCTGTATTATTTTTACTTCTTTTAAAAATATTTATAAAGTTGCAACCTTTGTCAACTAGTAGGTAAGGCCATAAATTCAAGTAAATATGCAAAATCGTTATGTAAAAACATTGTATTTGCATACCAATTTTCCTAAGATTATCAGACATTTTTTGGTAAAAGTATGTTGTATGAACTATTTGTATGATCGACCTAGTATTAAATTTTCAAAACAGCTGTACAAATTTATGGTTACAAATTAATTATGGTTTTGTTAAAATTTGTACTTAAAACGTGTATAAAAAACATTGTAGTGCTTATGTATCATAAATTTGTTTAAATAGGTATAGTAAAAACCTATGAGGAATCTTGTGCAACACAGTCTGGTCTCATATCAGACCTTGTTTATTTAAGCCGAGTGGCTATCAATATTTATAACAAAGTCTATCCAGTTAAGGAGTAGTTAATTAGCTATTCTCACTACACGAGTCTGGTTGTTGGATCGATACAAATAAAGATTTTTAAGTTTTATTTGACTGGTCCTACGAACTTATGACCTGCTTTCATAAACTTACATAATCCTTGAGTATGGTTCCGTCCTCTGGGACCCGTCCACCACTTCAGTACGTAGCATGATAGAAAGGGTTCAAAGAAAATTCCTCCGTCAAGCTGCTTACAAACTAAAGATAGTCTGTCCACCTCACGATTATACGCCAATCTTTTTCTAAGAAAGCCTCACCGATTGTCGTCATTCAGCTAACCTGACATTTCTATCCAATCTTCTTTCATATAAAATTGATAGTCCTGAATTACTATACCATGTCTCATTTAATGTCCCCTCTCGCTGTACACAATCATCTGTTCCATTTCATATACCTTTCTCTTCCTCAAACTACTATCTTAACTCACCGATCATCCGCCTTATGCGCATTGCCAACACTGACCCTTCATTCTTTCTCTGATATTGAGCCACGTTTCCATAAACTATTAAAACTATTATTATCATACTATTATATTCATGTATTAAAGGGTTCGTCTCGTATTGTAAAATAAAATAAAATAAATAAATAAATAATTGAACACGAATACACGATATAGCACCATGTTAAAGGTTTATTTATTATACAGTACTCTATCACCTGAGTAACTCTATTTTTTAAGGGTAGTATATTGAAGATCACAGGAGTAGTTGAGTATGAGTTTATACAAATTAAATTATTATGATTTATCTATAACGTATCTATTATACATTTACACTTATAGTTAATCAAAATATCAATGTTGCTTAAAGATTTAGAGGTAACCGTGGTCTCTACTTCATGATTTAAACTCGAGTACTCGACTGATTGACTACCAATGATTAATATTATTTTACTTTATGTTCCTGTATTCTGTTTACCTAACTAAATTTGTAGTATGCGACAAGTCTACTGACTTGACATCTTTGAGTTGTTATACTACAAATTGTTTAGCTTTTTAACCGAATAAGTAATTATTATTATCATTATTAAAAAAAAAACTAAAATTTATCAAATACAATTGAAGCAAAGACAGTCTAACCAAGGTTACCAAATAAATTTCACAAATTTTCATTTATTTTTGTTTTCCCATTGCTTTTAGAAAATACTGAGAATTTTCAGTTTTGTTCTCCCAAAAGGTACCAACTAGATTTAATTTGCTTCCATCAAAGTTTATGGTCAAAGAATTTTTTTTACTAGAAAAGTTGAAGTTATACAAACATCCTTAAATACCTCACCAATTAAATAAATTATCATACTGAATCAAAAAAAAAGTAATACATTTTCAATCCCCCCCCCCCCCCATTGTAAAATCCTTCATACACCACAATTATTTACTGTTGTGCATAGGTGTATACATAGGACTATATTGTATCTTGTGCATTTATTTATCGTAACTATTGATTAAATACAAATATTGTATTTAATCAATGTCGTAACGGAATATTGAATAATTTTAAGTTTTAAAATTTTTATAATATACACTCTAAAATGTATTTGAATGAATTATCAATCATCAAATATTTTGTTTTGCATTTTTTTTACTAGGTTTTTCATTTTTTGAAAAGATTTCATTCATTCATTTTAAATCTACTTAGTCAGTACTTTTCTAATAGAACTTAACCGTAGGACATTGGAACAGAATAGATATGACACATTAATATGTCACTTATAGAGTTAAGTTTCTTTTATTTAATATTTTTATTTTTAATATAGACATGTGGTAATAGACATTTGACTGCAGGTCTATCTAAATATGACATAATGTCATATTATATCATTTCCATATCAAAACGCATCTTACATATTATGTAAGATGATTTTTACTTTATACTGACAGTAAATATGGTAACATAATTGTTACCACCACAAGGTTGTAAATAATGTATAATGCTAAACAAATTTTGAAATTTTGATATTTAATAAAATATGTTAATTGTTCAATGTCTCCCACCAAAGGATGTTTAATATTTATTTATTATCTAAATTATGGAGGATTCTATAAAGTCACTAAGAATATTTTTCAAAATTTTTACTGTCCAACATACAATTAATATTATCCAATAAATTATAATAAATCAATATTGATAAAAATGAAATGCTTTTTATTTATAAAATTACAAAGATATATATATATTTGTATAAACTAATATGGTATATGCTTACGATGTTGGTAAAAATTAAATTATACCAAGAATTAAGTAAAAGAGTAAGGATATATAACTATATAATTTTAATTTTAATGGCTTTATTAGTAGTCATAAGACTTAACTAATTATACTTAACAATCACATAATTTCAATAATAATAGACTGATTAATACCTTTTAATATTTCATCAAGAGCTATTTGTTTTTTATCAAGTATAATTGTTTTAAGTGATTTACATTTTGTTAACTCTTTGCATGAAATTTCTTGAATTTGATTTTCTCTTAGATCCAAAGCTTCTAGATTATTTAGAGCAGGAAAATTATTCAAATTCACCAGCTTACAATTTTTCAGTGACAGTTTTTTACACATAATTAAATGTTTTAAATGATTTAAATTGCTGTGGGATAAATCATTATCACTCAAATCAATATTTTTGTTAAATAGAAACATGTGCATATGATAAAATGCTGTTAATCCATATCCATTCAAATTAACATCATCCATATTATTGTTATTATTGTTAGCAATCCAATGTTCAATTTGGTAACGGCTTTCGAGGTCATTATAATAATTTTTTCTTTTAATATCTAATTCTTTTAGTAATTTGATGTTTTTAAGACAATTTTCAAAATAATATGTTGGTTTTAATGTGTAAAGAAGTAACACATAAGTGAGTAGAGCCCACTTGCTTTCTGGTTCCATTTCTAACAGTTGACGTAAACTATCCAGTTGTCCATTTAAAACAAGTTGAAGCTGTTCACTAATGTTAAGATTAAATATATCTTGTTGAACATTATCTATTGATACATTATCTATTACTTGGTTTACTTCATCAATAATTTTTATGTTTGTATTGTCAACATTGTCTACTTTTTTACACCAAATTTTTGAATCAAATTGTTCCCAATTTGTTTCTCCTGATCCAATAATTTTGTAATTATTTGGTAAATTTCTATTTAGTATGATGTACATTTTATTTTTTATTTGAGAAACTTTGTAAATAAACTTAGACGGTTCTAGTTTTCCTATAAGCCATCGCTGATATATCCAAGCACTTTGATCTGAAGGATCAGTAAATGCTGCACTTTCCACCAATGATAATTCTGAAATTTTTGTGGATTCTTCATCTTTTCCTGCAGCACAGAAAAGTTTTGATCGATAATGCCATGCAGAATAATTTGAAAAATTTGACTCAATCATTTCCATAGTAAATTTCAATTCATTTTCATTTGGTTCTTGACACTTAGATGCTACAATTTGTCGATAATCCCAGCAATGAAAATTTCTTTCATCTATTTTCAAATACTTTGTACACAATTGCAATTCTTTATTCCAATCTGGATTAGGATCTACATTATCTAGTAACCAATTTCGATGATACCACGCTGAATAAGATTTTGGATTTACTTGTAAACATTTTTCAGTTAAATAAAGTTCATCATTAATTATTTCTTCAGATGGTTTCAAATGTAATAATATTTCTTTTCTATAATTCCATATAGTAACAATATCAGGGTTAGATCGTAATAATCCTTCAGATGATTTCAATGCTAAGACGTCATATTCATTGCGTGATCGACGCTCAAATACATCATTGATAGTATTTCGATACAATTGAAGTTTTTTTTCCTTTTCTCGATCTGCAGCTGCTCTTTGTGCTTCAGTTGTCCGTACTTTTAGTCTGTTATGCATATTTTATGAAATTACCCTAAAAATTAAAATATTAAAATCATTATATGTACATAGTAGTATGTTGTTCTCATACTATAATAATACCTAAGGACAAATAATTATATTTTTTTAAATTTACTTCATTACAATTTTAAAGTGTTTGATGTGATAATTATTAAAATATTAACTTAAGTTGCATAACATTATAAATTGGTACATAAATTAATTTACAATAGGCAACATCTAATGAAGTATGTACCCCTACATGTAATTTTTTATTATAACATTTAGACAATCAACAAATCTCACCTGAGAAAAATATCCACCAAAATATGTTTAGTCTAAACGAATTTTTCGATACAAAAGTACATAACAATTTTACCAACAACATTAAAATTCGTATTCATAATCATAATAATATTGTAATTTATTACTTAATGATAAGAAAAATATAAATTTCAGTGTTGCCAAAAGTTACATACTACAAAAATTATATTATTGTACATCACATTTTTCTAGAACGTTTCTTTTCTTTAAAAATGGACATCACATGTCCTGTAAGTTGTAGGTAAAAAAATGACAATTTTAGTTGTATGTCTACTTCTTGAGTTCAAATTGTATTTTATTATTTTTTTTTTTTGTCTTTCAATTGTATATGTTTCAAATTAACGTGAATGATAAATGAGTAAAATGTATATTTATCATTTGAATTCTGATTACATAATATAATAAATTTGTTAAGACGAATAAAAAATTCTAAAAATGTGTAATTTGATCTATTAATATACTATATACCAGGAAGATTAGTGATAAGCTGATAAAACTCTTATAGACTTCTGTTACAAAAGTGGTCCAACAAAAAACGAACAGTTATTCTTCCACCAGGATCACATTGTTCAATAGTAGGGATACGTTTTACCATAAACAATAAAATAAATTACAATATAATTTACTTTCTATTTAGTTTTCCAAATCAAATATTATTTATTATTTGTTACAAAAACCAAAAAGGTCGTAAATAGCTTGATATTAACCAAGCTATATTTGGTGATAACAAAAAATTATCTAAATATAGGTTCATTGATATTAAATTTGCCAGAGTTCTTGAAAATAACTTGTACAAGAATAATATAAATATATAATCATTTCATGTATTAGATTATTAATATTATATAAAATTATATTTTTAGTAATAAATATTTTAGGTAGCCTGACAAATAATTATTTGTCATTTTTTTTTGTCTTATATGTTATTTAAATATTTAATAACATTTTGTATTTATTTTAGACAAAAAAAATGGCTCTATGGTTAGTTACTCAAATGGAAGAACAAGGACATGCTGTAGCTTTATTATCTGGTGAACTTACAGTCCAACAAAGAATATCTGTTTTGGACCGTTTCCGTGAAGGAAAAGAAAAAGTTTTGGTTACTACAAACGTATTGTCTAGAGGTAATAATCATTATTATTTTGTTACTTATTTATTTTAAACCCTAATTTTATTATTTTAGGTATTGATATTGAGCAAGTCACGATTGTTATTAATTTTGATTTGCCCTTGACAGTCACTCGTGAACCTGATTATGATACATATTTACATAGAATAGGACGTACTGGTCGTTTTGGTAAAAAGGGTATTGCTATCAACCTTGTTAGTGGTAGTTCGGATCATCTTATATTGAAACAAATTGAAGAACATTTTTGTAAACCTATTGAATGTTTGAATACTGACAATGCAGATGACATGGAAAAATTGGGAGCCGAGGATTGATTTGTAATAATTACCTGTAATATTTTTTCTTTGATGTCTTAAAGTTGTAATATAAATTATGAATCATTAAAACCTATACTAAGAAAATGATTTTAATTTGATAAATATTTGTTTTTTACCTTAAGTAAAATTCTAATTCAAAATCTTTTTTGAACAAAAGTTGTTTTTATACTTACTTATAAATAAAAATAAAAATAATTTTATCATTATAAGTAAAAATTTTTACATTAAATACATTAGTATTTTTATTTTTAAGTTTAAGGGACTTATATAGGCTTTAACTTTATTTTTACAATTTGTAAACATTATTTTGGTAAAATAAATAAATGCTGATTCTTTTAATTTGAATGAACAAGTATGAAGTAATAGAATATTTAATTTAATTAGTTAAATATTAACATTATTTCTAGATCATTTTTATGCCATTGCTTACTTAAATTTAGTTTATTTTATTTAATATTAGAAATAAGAGAAAACTAATTAATCATCATTCTTTAATAAAATTATGGGAAACCATAATAAGGTTAATAATAATAAACCAAATTATAAGGCATATGCCTTATAATTTTTACAAGAAAAATGCTTTTAATCTCTGCTGTATACTATGTACAATGTACATTACCACTCTTTCATTTGTTATATTTTATTGTGTTTTGTCCTGGTTGTATCTGGTTCAGTCATACAATCAATAAATGCAATTATATAAGATTTCATCTGTTGAGTTGATAAATGATTTTTAGTAAAAGAAAATGAATTCACTATTTTAATAACTACCTCATTGACTGATGGTCATAGACCCAATTTCAATATTTTACTTTGAGGGGGGGGGGCTTACGATAATTCTAAGTAATTTATTTACTTACTCCTTCAGTCCTTTCCAAATAAGAGATGCCCAAAAAAAACTCAACAGACAAAACTATGTTTTTAAAAGCTTTACAACTAATATGTTTGATGTGAGGTCAGGGATTAAGGTTAATACTAAGAACAAATCGTAGATCTGTAACACAGTTACAGGGGAGCCTGCAGACAGGGGCATTATTGCACCCACTGAGATTTTTCTAATGAAAAATGTGTGTCTAATAATTTAAATATGTGACTATCTATGTAGGTATGTATCACATAAATTTAATTTTGCACCCACTGAGCTGATTTTCTGCGGGCGCTCCTGCACAGTCATTAGAACACAAAAGAATAACTATAGAAGTTTTCAGCAAATGTGGCCCTCGAGAGTGTTGTAGTGCAGCTGGTGAAGCTATTTCAGAAAAATAGTGGTTCTCCACATTGGCTGGTAGAGAGCCAGTTATTAATGAGTAATTAATTTTAATTTACCACTTTTTTTGCCACATGTTTAGTAGCCAGTAAATAGTCCACGAAATTGTAATTATATTAAAAACTAAGAAGGGAGACTCTGTCCCCCTTCGACCTCCCACTTTAACCACTGATAGATTTGCCGTGTAAGATGGAGGGAGACTTTATACACTAAAATTCGGAGTGCATCGTATTCAGTCATTCTGATTTCAGATACACAATATTAATAATCACTGAGTTACTACATGCAGGTACACTTTCACTCCAGACAATATTACCTATACAATATTATTACTATAGAAGTTTTTATGTCAAATTACTATAGTTGATTAAGTGTTTTTTCTTTAAATAATATTATTATTTAACTTAAATTATATATTATATACTGTTTAAAATTAATTAAATCTATACTTCCTATCATCGTCCTGTGTACGTTATTGACTGAACGAGTGAACAGAGCACGCAAGACGCTACATACTTATAAATTGCGGACAGAAAGGTACCTACGAATTTTTAAATAATAAAACTAAAAACTATATCATCACAGTAAAGACAGTATTACAGTCTACCTGTTTACAGTAAGTAATATAATTTAATGACAAAAAATTTAAGTAGGTATTTGAAAATACGATTTTTACAAGTAGGTAAGCTGTAGTTAGGTTGGCATCTATAGCCTATAGGTATAATATTATAGGTACATATCGGTACTTATAAAATGCCAAAATCAGAATTTGAATAAATCTATAATTTTTGCATAGAATTTATGAGCTTGGTGGAACAATCAGATACATCACGCCTATACATTACATAAGTATAGTTTTCATTAGAATTGGAATACCTATGCAATAATCAGATAAATCCTTTACTGGCTTTACTTTAACAAAAAATACTATAGTAAAAAATATTATCTATACAGGCGCGTAGCTACGGGGGTGTTTTGTTCGTTGAAACACCTCTCGGCCGGATAATCCAAAATATATTAGATTTGCGAAGTAATAAATTAAAACATCACCCCTTAAAAAATCCTGGCTACACGCATGGATCTATAGAATGTGCTTTTATAAACATTGAGCTTAGATTTAGTAAAACTTAATTATTGTGGCCAAGAATAAATAATTAAAATTTGTTGGCTTTGAAATTGTTTTGTTTTGAGGCAAAAACTAGACAACGCTGTCTGTGTAAGCTCAATATTAGTACATTTCAAAAAAGCTTAGTTAGATATAACAACTCGAAGATTAGGTATACAATTATCAGGTATTGCGTGCGTATAGAATTAAAAAACATAAATAAATATTATTTTATGTTAAATCCAAAAAATACGATTTTTTTTAGCCCATGAACAATTTCAAAAAAAGGGGGTTATTTTATAGTGGCGCCAAGCTCTTCAAACTAGAGCGATTAAAATGCTGTAGTGAGCTTGAACATAGTCAGGTAGCCATGGTAGGTACGTAGGCATTAGCGTAGCTTGATACATTTTTATGGGGGATTATAATATAGCCTATACATTTTTGGGTATACCTTCAACATTTCCTCATCCCACTCCTTCAGTAATTTTATTATAATACTGACGTCTGACAAGTGTCATCAGGTGGTTGCCACTTAGCGACATAATATCCATACTATTGCATAATCTACAATGAAAAAGTCTTACAAGTTATAAGTAACAACTGTTTAAACAGTTACCTCAACAATATTCATTTTAGCTTTAGGGACAATCTTATTGCTTATAGTTACGAGAGCTAAATTAATAATATTGAAACAATTTCGTTGGAATAATATATGACAAGGTCGTAGAAATATAAACCAGAGAGGGAGGAGGGAAAAGTCAAAAGTGATGTAACACATGCTATTTTTTTTACAAGTGATACAACTACAATATTAACATTAACATTGAGAAAGTCATTACCCCAATGAGAACGTCCTTGAAAATTGGCATATGCGCTATGTTCGAAAAAGTTTCACCAGTTTATTTATTTTAAATTCATCATTGATACATTAATTATTTTTCTCACTATCACCTCTAAATAATTGTACTATATACAATATACATATATGTATAATACACAGGGTAATTCACAAACAAGCATGTTCATCCTGTTTTTTCAATAATGTACTTATTCGACATTTGATTTTTAGAATATATAATAGTTATATATAAAGACCCTGTTTTGAAATTCTTGAGGTTTTTTTTGTACTATTTAAGGAGTGTAAAATAGAATTAACTTTTGTGTTTATCATGAACTTATTATTCTTATTAACCTTTGAATAACTGAGAAACTACTCGTTTAAATTTTAAAATAGATAAATAAAAAATTTCAAAAAAAATATCTACTACATAATTTACAGTAAAAAAGTGGTTCTTATTTGAAAAGCAGAAGTTTGTGTAACCACAAGTCATACATCAGGACTATACATACTCCTTATGACGTATAGATCAACAATATTTAAGAATTTGAAAAAAAATGGTTATTGATAATATTTAAAAATTCCAAAAATGAGGTTTTAAAAAAAATCATTATTAAAGGAAAAATGATGGTAAGCGCGTTTGGTAAATCACCCTGTATATTGTATGTATAATATATGGGTAGAACACGATTGAGGACGGTCCTTATCGGCCCTACCTTTTTTAATAGCATGATTGAGAACGGTCTTACCTGCTAACTTTTATGCAACGTTGCCACATTAATTAAAAATAAAAATAATAAAAATACAATATATATAAGATGTCAATCTCTAGGTAATATACATAGGTTTATAACGGCAATAGTTTGAGCGTAAAAGCCTAGCTATGATAATTTATTATTAACCGTCGACAGTGTGCCCCAAATGTCTCTTGTTAATCGCATGAATCGTCGTACATTTTATAAACAAATTGTGAAAAATGCACAAAAAATGAATTTTTTTTTAAAAATACAAAAAAAAAAAATCAGTTCACACATTTTATACTTACAAAACAACGTTTCAAAACACCAAAAAAGATGCCTTTGCATCAAAATCCCAGCCCTAAAAATTATTACTAACAGTTAAGATAAATGTCAACGTCGCTAGAAATATCGTTCTCAATCGTTGGATTTTAAGGTACAAAATATTGTTTCTTTGATCTGCCGACATCGTTCTCAATCGTGTTGCTAAAAAGGTAAAACGTTCTCAATCGTACAACACCGATGATACATGTTTATTAAAGCATTATATTATGAGCCTTGACATTTAAATATTATTTGTCTTTGTGCGTGTAAAATGTATTTATGTATTTATTTATTATTGAAGGTTAGGTTAGTGTGTGTACTCTACTGTTCCTATACTAAGAAGTAAGAAGTAAGGACGTTTCTATTACTCAAATATTGAATAAAAATAGTTTAATATTATAAATGAATAGATTAATAGTTGTCCCGTCAGGCGTTGCCCTCTAAGATTTGTTCTATTTAAAAATGAATATGCCATATTTTTCCTATAAAATTGTGATACACAATAGTAGGAATTGCAATTTGTAACCTATGGGGCTATGGCAACCATATGAATAAACAAAAAAAATATTCCTTTTTCGTGTGCTGAAAACCGGGAGTGGTAAACTGAGTCCCAAATAATTGGGTGGATATTAGGGCTTGGTAAATTGAGCCCCGAGCAATAATATTTTTCGAAAAAATAATTTAGAAATAACGACGATAACTCAAAAATAAAAAGTCTCTACATTCAATGAGTACTGTATAGT